GTATTGAAATCCATTATAAATGCATTTTTTTGATCCCATATTTACATATAAAATAATGCATTTCTTTCAGTAAATGTTTTTCTTTTTACAACCATCTCTCTRCTTTAGATTTAAATTTTAGCCCACTTGCTGATGTCCTGCTTTATGTTTGAGGGTTGCTGTAAAAATGGCACCTGGGCTGGAACTTACCTGGAGGAGACGCCTCCTTCCTGGCTGAAAGTTGTTGTTGAGTTCTATTCCTCATCTTGTCCAAAAAAAAAAAACAAAAAATTTAGCTCCGATGTAAAAAAGTGAAAACAGTTACGTTGTGCACAAGTAAACATTAGCTCCACCTTCATGCGGAACTAAGAATCATTCTCGCCTGCATGGAGTCAGGTGGATTCCTGTTGGCAGCTGGACTGCACCGCTGCAGCGCTGTGATCATCCGGTCCAGTAAAACCTTTAAAGAACCTGCTGCTCTTATAAAGGTTTCATTCTTGGTTTWAAAAAAATATTGCCAAACAAAGCAATTCAATACTAATTGCAGCATAAATGTAAAAGTATGTTTAATGATTTCCATTASATTTATGTAAATTTTATGAATTGCACCTTATCTGAGTTCAAACGACTCAGATCAGGTTTGTAAAGAAGTGATTTGATCATTAGTGTAAGAAACAAGTGCAGTTAAACTGGTTTCCAGGCTGAGTGACAACAGAAGTCGTGTTTCYCTATCTTTGTTTTATAAAATGAAAGAATGTTAAAAGCACAAGTCCTTTATTTCTCAAGTCTTTCAGGCTGAAAGCGTTGATCATTTATTGACACCAGGAGTGCTGAGTCATGTTTTTCTTTCACATTAGTTGTTTCAGTTTGTCGCTCTAAAACAGAGAACAGAAGCTGTTGATGAGAGATGAACATCTCACTGGTGCTTTGGGTTCTGGATCCTCTGGTTAAAGTCCTCCTGAGTAAACAGGGCCAAGGGACAGAACTTGAGAACTGAACCAGCATGCCTGAACTGTGAACAGACTCTTAATCCAACTGTAAAACTACTGACGACACTGATTTGAAGAAAAAACTCACCTTTAATCTGAGAGAATAAACTCATCTGGGGGAATCGAAGGAAACCAGGATCTCAGTTGATCCCAAAGCTCCAGAACTGTTATAAAACATTTCATCCAATTGTTCCCGAACACCAGTGTGAAAGAACGCTACAATAACTAATATTAACCTTCTACACGTTTGCATGAAACTGTTGAATGTAGACGTTTAATATGAGCTAATTTAGCATTCCTTCAAAACAGTGTTTTAAACCAATGTAAAATGAACCCTGCATGGTTCTGTTAGCCGTTAGCCTAGCCTGGAGGAAGATTTCTGCCCTCTTCATCACCCTGTGCTTCATGTATTATGTCACAGCAAAGTGTTGATAAATACTGGACAGAACATCAGTTCAAACATGGCTGACCCTTTGAGAATATCTTTAAAGTCCTGCAGGCCTACAGTCCTGTTCTACAGTCCTATAGACCTGCAGTCCTATAGACCTGCAGTCCTGATCTACAGATCTGTAGACCTGCTGGTCCATGGTGGTTTTAATTAGACTGAAGAAAACTGAAACATGTTGCTAAAAACTTGAGGAAGTTCTTACTTCCCTTCACTCTGTTCCTCTTTGTGTTTGTAAAGTTGCTGCTAGAACCTTGTCAGTAAACGGAGGCTTTTTTCTGAATGTGATAAACATGTCTGTTCTCATGCAGCAACAGAAACCTGAGCATGAGCTGATTTTCAGCACAGACGACCGAATGTGGACTAGAAAGCCACTGAGAACACATCCTCACMTCTTTTACAATGAAGCAATACTCAAACATGTCACACGTCTGTCTTTTAAATGTTTTTTTTTTTGTTTATTTGTTTTGCATTTGGAAAATATTCAGCCATGTAAATGTTATTTTTTATGTGTAGAATATATTTAAAAGATGAGATTTGAATGCTTTTTGCTCACGTTTAWTCTGCCTGGAAACTTGAAACTTGAAATGATTTTGATTTGGCAGAGAATACAGTAGGACTTGGTCTTTGTTCTGCTCTGTAACAAGTCCAGCTGCTATTAGCAATAAAATCTTCAAATAAACAATGTGGGGTTGKGACAGAATGAAAATGATATGTACCATTTCTTCATACACTAATGTGCCGTCAGTTCAGTGAGACGAAGAATCCTCATCAGGTCTGATATTAATTCAAGCATCCAGTCACTGAACAAAGAAAGTACTCTCTCTTTCAAGTCTTGGTTTTGATGTTTCAAGCCACAAGAAAACTATTTGGTCTTTAACAGGTTCTAAATTTGTTTAAATCTAACATCAAGTGTAAAAAAAAAAAAAAAAAAACACAACAAGCTTCACTGTGCCAATTTTTATTAGACCAAACTGAAGCTACACTGGAAAGTCTGTGTCCAGATCCTGATCCAGCAGCATGTAGAACCTTCTTCAACAGCAGGAACTCTCAGTTGTGAGTTTCTGTAGGACTTTTATCAGCCCTGCAGAAAACAGTCTGACTGTAAAATTTATAGTGGTTGAACCATAAAAAAAACACGACAGCACAGCTTAGATTTAGAGTTTCTCTGACTGAAACTGGAGCTGATGGTTTGGGCTCCTTCGGTCCCCGATTGAACATGAACGTCTTTGTAGACTAAAGGTTCTAGAGTCCAATATGAGTCCTACAGCTAATGTTTGGACCAAACTGAGTCCAACAGAACAAAACACAGCATCTGATCTATAGCAAAGTGCTGCAATGATCCAGTCAAAGCCAGGAMCTCGATGAACAGAAAATCTGTGATCAAACCTCAGAGTGCTGAGCAGAAATGCAAATCCTAATGAACTGAAACTTATTTTGGCTTAATTTTTGTTTAATAAATAATAATAATGTGGAGTGTTTTCACCTTACACATTATCAGAGCTGATGCTGACCTCGTCTCATCATTTGTGCCAATCGGGTGTCGGCTTAAAAGTTTTCTGCAGTGTATAATTAAATAAACTACATTCTCTACTCAATTTGACTGACAACCAAACTGAGATGTCTTGTCAGTTTCARGAGGAAAGCTGAATTTACTATATGTCCTGATGCATCTCAGTAATCCAGGTAAAAAATCAAAAAGAAAAAAATTGTATAGGTC